GCACGCCACTGTGCCTTCGCCATTGGTGTGTGCCCTCCCCTCCTTACTGTCTCGAAGAGAGGAGCGCACCAATAACGAAGGCACAATAGTGTGCCTAACTCCGCCCACATGGCTAGTCAGGAGTGCTCCTCTAATTAATTGAAGCGGAGCTCATGTCGTGAGAGGAGGCGCCACTCCCATACACATGAGCAGAGCACCAAACCGTGGATTGGGTCCTTCCCATTATGACCTCTCGGACTTGACCAAAGGGTATCAGATTTCTTTGTGGGTAAGAACATACTGCAATATGTAGTGCCTGGTGGTCACAAGTCATGCATCAGATGCGCTTTCAGACTACTCTGCGATTCTAAACGAAAGTCAAAAGCATGGCGCATCCGAGAAGGGATTACCCAAACATTTTACGCTTCAACAATTTCACGGATACAACAATTGTGCGATGATCTGCAGATACATGGACTCACCTCTATTGAGCGGACCGGTAAGTAGGTTATTTTCACGAAAGGTTTGATCGGAATTATTCGAAGAGTGGCCGCCACCATGATCCCCAGAGTTCCTTCACTCCATGGAACACCGAAGAAAAGCGCTTGTGTTTCGGCGTCGCCTTTTTTGTCCTGCAAATAAAATACTTTAATAGTACGATGATACGTTTTTCACTCCGGGAACACGTTCTGTGAGGTCAAACTAAGCGGCACCAGAAGAGCTGTTCGGTTGAAGACTTGCAATGGCAAAATCTATAGGCTCGTTTGTGTGGGTTCCCGGATGAATACGCGTGCTCAGTATAAAAGCACAGTCTACGCTAATCGTGTGGGCGGGGCAACCCAAAACTTATTTCTTCATCATTTGTACCCCCTCCTCCTCACCGGTTCAAAAAAAAGAAACGCAAGGAGGGAGGGGGCGTTGCGATTGGATGTCTCCGATTCCTCAAGAAATCGCAGTTTTGTCGGGTAATGAGCAAAACGATATAACTTTCATGGTAGAAGAAGCGCAGTCGTAGAGCTCCCGCTAGATTCTGTTTTGCCCCTTCGAGGCCTTGTGCTACCCTCACAGCTTTATGGCAGTCACCATCACTCATCAACACTCCCCCCCCCATAGCCTGAGAGCACGTACGAAGGGGTCAGAAGGAAGCGATCCGTCTAGCTGGCCTACCTTAGTGGCAGTCACAAGGCTTCCGTCCGGCATCACAAGTTCGTAGGATAAGCAAATATGTTGGAATAAACCGTACTTCCTGCCGGACACATCTGCTCCACGGCCATTTATCGCATCTGGAAAGTCGTCCTACTTTTGAGAGTTATTGTGTTATCCTACTTTTGTGAGTTATTGTGTTACAAGCAGTGAATTTCAGCGTTTGCAGAGAAGGAACAAGCTAGCTTCCCGGTCTTTTTCGGGGACTCTCTTTTTACCTACAATCATAATTTCACTGATTTTTGAAAAAACGTAGGGCTTTTCGCATCTCACATGTAACCTATAGTCGCTAAAGGCAAGTAGCAGTAGTAGTTTGAGGGGAGGGTGGAGTTCGTAACTGGGCGGGATTTGTCAAAATTCCGTTATTCTTGCTGGATGGCTCATTCCCGTGAAATATGCGAACCTTTGGAGCAGTGTGAGTTCCCCTCTAAAGAAATATCAAAGACGTTTTTCGTAGAATTTTTCTTCGAAATCAAAAATCAGATATTGTGAAGAAAATTACAGAAAGGTGGCGATATCAATTTCTCAAAGGGAAACGAAATTTCATCGCGTGCAACATACCTTCAACAGTGAGATCTTTGTTTCCGGGAAGAATAGGTAGGCAGTATCCTTGAGGGATAAGCACCCGAGACAGCTCACCCATGGTGATCATTGGTTCCACACGAATGGTTAGAGCTTCACGATTAATCTGGAATAGCTTTTGGTATTGTTAGGATTTCCAGAATCAAAGGCGAAAATCAAACCGACAGACCTCTAGGATATCCATCAGGGTACCCGTGTCGATCAGGGTCGTATCTTTGTTAGGTAGTCGTAGCATTGATTTTGAAAAATTGTAGTGAACTGGATGCATTTTCTTTTTGCGATCGCCTTTTCCCCATTCGTGAACCTTGAAAAGTCAGAATTGAGGGTCAGAGGCGCATTCCACGATAGAAGGTTGGGCGGAGAAATGGGCGGAGATATTCGGCCATTGCGGCGTCATAATTGGCTGCTACTTCTCTATGTTGTAGAAGGAGGAGGTGCGCACCAATGAGAGAGGCTGACTATACCCGCTCATTCCTCCTGGCAATATGCCTTTAGGTTCGAAACTGCGACGCATAACGATCCGTGCGGGACTTACCTGTTTTTGAATTGCTGCAACTTTCCGCACATGAGCTCGGGGAGCTGTACCGATCGCATATACAACTGTGTTCCTTACAGTTAACAGCAGGTCGAGTATGAAGCTCAACGGCAAGATGAAAACAACGATCGCATAACAGCGAACAGAATACAATAACCATGTGAATAATCGCTCGATTGGGGGTGGTCTCGCCGTCGCCCCCATCTGAAATTGTCGAAAAATGAACTGATTTTCTATCACGGAAATGTTTTTTGAGCATCTATCCAAAAATGCTAACACTGCTAATTAATTAGATCTGAGCTCAGGCTTAGAGAGGAAACGTGAATCAGAA